CCAAATGGTTTTTATAAAAATTTATGGTTTTTATAAAAAATATGGATAAAAATAAAATAAAAAGCTAAATAGATAACGGCAAATCAAAAATGACTCACTCGCTTTCTCCTCCACTCCCGAGCTCGAACCATCCGAAAAGCAGGCCCGACGCACGAATCTGTCCACCTGCCCGAGACGGCAAATTTCGCCCTGGAATTTCGAGAATTACGCTCCTCAAAGAATCTCTGCTAGCCTGTACCTCAATTTTTTTATTACTTACTCGGTTTCCGCAAACCAGCAGTTCCTTTTAAAATAAAACAATAATTTTTACAATTCAGCTTAACTAAATTTTAAACCACTTTTACGTCCGTCAGATTGCCAGAATTTTGCCGACTTTTTCTACCAGACTATGCCGTTTTATGAAACATATTTTTAGTCGACACGCTTTTGAAGTTCAAATTTGTTCAAAGTTCATTTTGAGCGATTTCCTGAAGGAATTACTGCTAGCTAGCCCTAAAAACCGACAGCTTGACATTGATATTGCTGCGAGCATTCGTCCCTTCGGCACAGCTTCTCCTCACAGAATTCCCCACGTCCACACTCCCATCCCAGAGGACACGGGGCTCCAATTAACGTCAGGCAGCCGGGTAGCAGAAATATACCTAGAAAAGAGGACTAAAGTATATTTTTACCTAAATACCAGGGTTGAAAAACCGCTTCGCGGCTTTTCAACCCTGGCCCCGCCTAACGCACATCATAGTAAAAAATGTGCATATTTCTTCCCGAACCGATCGCAAAAAATGAGAAAAAGACCCCTGCTGCCCCCTTATATAGGCTTTCCCCACTTCCGGCGCATGCAAATTGCCTCCTAACAAAGAGATTTTTGGATATCTTTACAAAAAACACAATTTTAATAGGGAAAACAGTAATTTTTCAAAACTTTGATATGGGTGCACTCATCTCGGCATCATTACGCACCTAATGACGTATCATACGTACCCGATAAACTTTCCCCTGAGGCTGTAGGTCGGAGACAACCTCACGGAAGTTGCATGCAAATGCACACACACAGACACTATTTTTTTATATATAGTAGGATATTTAAGTATCATATATTTATTATTGATTATTTATTATTCATTTATCTTTAAGTATATATTTAAGTCTATATATAGATCTTTTAACTTTCAATTTTTGCAACTTTACGACCATGCTTAAGTATTTTTAAAACTAAGGATTTTAAAATGTGACATTAATTAGACCGAGGCAACCAATAGAAATATAGGTCAAAAGGTAATTTAAAATGTATAATTAAGCTACTTTAATAATAATAAATTTTTCAAAAAATGTTTCAGCAAATTTTAGCTTAATTATGGGATAACGGCGGTATTAAAAGATATACTTAGGCTATTAATAATTTTTCTATAAATTTTGGTAGAAATATAGAACACGCTGATAGAAATATACCTAAAAAATGAAATATATTAATGAAACTATTTGTACTAAATGTTCGTTATATTATTGGCTCCTTATTTAATGGTATAAGTTTGCCGTATACGCGGAAGACTATATTACAAAATTCCGATTTCCTGAAACATCTTCCTTGCATGAAACATAGAAACTTTTCACCCGCTACGTAATCTTTCGCATCCTACTATATATAAAAAAATAGTGTTTGTGTGTGTGTGTGTGTGCCACTTTGCATGCAACTTCCGTCAGCGTGTTCCAGTAGTATCTCAATAAGCGGGGTAGTTAGGGGTATGTATGCGCTAGGGGTATTTAAGCTTTTCAACCCTGGTCTTAATTAAAAATTATCTTGCTTATTAATAAAATAATTATGAATTTATGTTAACCAGCGAAAAGTTGTGTACTTTTAAGAATAAATATTATGTCTATGTTATACCGAACACTTAACATTCTCGCTACTGTCAAGGGCTAAAGCTTGCCGGCATGCAATATATAAAAAAAAACATATTTTTTTGAAAAAACTTAAACCTTCCATCCGGATGAAATGGGATGTTTTAAAGACTCACCGGATAAAAATTCGATGCGCATGATCAGTATTGTCAACGAACTTTCACTTCACTAAACAAAATAAAAATTATTTTATCATAAAAAAGGTGGCCATGGTCTTTCAATAGAGCAGGCTAGCAGAGATCATTTGGGATGAGAGAGATGGGGAGGGGGCAGGCTAGCAGAGATCATTTGGGATGAGAGAGATGGGGAGGGGGCAGGCTAGCAGAGATCATTTGGGATGAGAGAGAGGGGGGAGGGGCAGGCTAGCAGAGATCATTTGGGATGAGAGAGAGGGGGGGAGGGGGCAGGCTAGCAGAGATCATTTGGGATGAGAGAGAGGGGGAGGGGGCAGGCTAGCAGAGATCATTTGGGATGAGAGAGGGGGGAGAGGGGGCAGGCTAGCAGAGATCATTTGGGATGAGAGAGGGGGGAGGGGGCAGGCTAGCAGAGATCATTTGGGATGAGAGAGATGGGGAGGGGGCAGGCTAGCAGAGATCATTTGGGATGAGAGAGAGGGGGAGGGGGCAGGCTAGCAGAGATCATTTGGGATGAGAGAGAGGGGAGGGGGCAGGCTAGCAGAGATCATTTGGGATGAGAGAGAGGGGGAGGGGGCAGGCTAGCAGAGATCATTTGGGATGAGAGAGAGGGGGAGGGGGCAGGCTAGCAGAGATCATTTGGGATGAGAGAGAGGGGGAGGGGGCAGGCTAGCAGAGATCATTTGGGATGAGAGAGAGGGGGGGGGGGGGCAGGCTAGCAGAGATCATTTGGGATGAGAGAGAGGGGGAGGGGCAGGCTAGCAGAGATCATTTGGGATGAGAGAGAGGGGGAGGGGCAGGCTAGCAGAGATTCTTTGAGCAACCGAAGACCGATCGGCTTTAAGAAGGAAGTGGAAAGGATGTGATTCGGGGGAATATTTTCGGGACTGATGAATCGTCGGTCTGATTCAGGGTATATTCCAGGGATCGTATACTTTCCGGGGTGCGGCCCATCCCGCTAAACTTATGCAAATACAAATAGCTATAGAAAAATCGCGTCATTCCCCAAAGATTTTTTAATTTGGATTTGAAAAAAATTCAATTTGCGAACACTAAACAGCGCGAAATTGAGCAATGGTAGAACGACGCCTATTGGCTGAGGTGTAGAACATATATTTCGGAAAATGTGGTCTCCAAAATTGTCAGTCAGGCTAACAATAAACCCACCAAAATGGCCCTATTTGCATAGCTTTAGGGCCCGGAGGGCATATTGTCTGGTTCGCTCTCGCTCTCTCTCTCTCTCTCTCTCTCTCTCTCTCTCTCTCTTTCTCTCTCTCTCTCTCCGTCTCTCGCTCTCTCTATCCTCGCTTTTGACCTGACCAGACAATAGCCATGATTTAATAGGCTTTGTTTGCCAATTTTCCACGATTAATTTGGTCATATTTGCATTTGTATAATTGTCTATCGTAGCGATACGAAATTTCGGAAAATCTATAGGCAACAGATGATAGACGTCCAAAAGATATCACTGAAAAGGTTTTTAAAGCGATTTTTCAGGTGTAGAATGTCGATTTGAGTGAGGCGAGCCGACCAACATTTTGCCTTCAATGGTCCTTTAGAAAACAGGTAAATTTTAAAATGAAAATGTTATCACTTTCCATATTTCGATCTGGAATGTAATTCACAGGGAAGAATTACCAAGTAGGAAATCAATTTCATACAAAATTTTTTTAAAACACTTTTTCTATAAATATCTTGTTATTGTTTTTGTTATGTGTTATTTGTGATTTATACGATTTTCTTCTAAAATTCAAGGTCCTGAAAATGGTTGATAGTGATTATAAAATTCGTTTAATGCGAGACAGAATTTCAGCAATAAATTTGATTTTCCTCGGAGCAATTTGCTATGTAATATTAATTTAAACTTGTTAACAATAGAGGCGCTAATATTGCTCGAAATCGACTTTACTATCGATCCGCTATTTTTTGGGAAGTGCAAGAAGAGAGAGCATGACGCAAATATTTTTCGAAATTTGCTCGAAAGCACTAATTTTGGTGAAACCCATTGTTTTCATATAGTAAAAGCAGTGTAAAAGAAATGTAGAAGTAAAAAACGTCGCGTAATTTGGCTAAAAAATTACCGTTAGCTAGAACTTACCATAACGTGACGTAAGGAGTGTAAAACGTAGCTTAACCTAAAACTTACGGCAGCACAACTTAAAACTTACCGTAACGTACTGGAACCTAACTCAAAGCGTCGCGCATGGTGAAACGTAACGTAGAGTAAAACGTAACGTGATGGATATTAAAACGTAACCAAACGGGTAAAAACGTAGCGTTACTGACTAAACGTATCTATGCGGAAACATGAGGGAAAAGTGACGTATTTTGTGCGGAACAGATTGCAAGGTCATCAGCTAGATCAAGGTATCCTCCCGCCAGGGAATTTCGTAAATAGTAATTTTTACGAAACACCTTTTGAAAATTTTTTCATTCATTTTATTATCGCCTGAATCTCATCGAACTAGTTCAATTAAACTGGTCAAGTTTGCTTGGAATTGTTTGAGTCGCATATTTTTTTTTATCGATTCTTGCAACTTATTTTTTCCCGGTAGGTGGACTGGAATTACTTGATCAAACAATTTCTTAGAGACTAACTTTAAGGAAACACATTTTTTTGGAGTCATTTTCTAGCTTTTTTTTCCGGATTCACGCACGAATGGAAAAAGGCACTAGCTTCGAAAGGAACAATAATTTGCGCAGTTTTTTCTCGGAACTATTAATTTTTAAGAAACACACTTTTTATCGATTTTCATTGCCTTATTTTCGGGGTGATTTGGTACACAAATGATCAATCATATCCCAATCTCGCGTTTCCATTTCGTTTCTGTCGTTTTCACGTTTTCTCTCCCCCAAAATGCGATAAATATTTTCTCAAAATTAGCACGTTTCACTCCAGACCCCCGAAAAATACAATTGATTTCTAAAAACCACTGAATCCAAATACCTATTAAAACCGATTATTCAAAAATGAGGCTAATCAGTTCTATTTTTATTCTTACTGTATTGATTTCTTTAAATTCTGCTGAAAAAGACACGACCAGTCGACTGGCCAATGTTATACGCAAGACGTTTAAGGTATGCTGCGTTACAGAATATTTTTTGAAAAATTTCATCAATGTTTCATAGTTGGTTAATAGTGGTCGATTATAACTTACCCAATTTTGTATTTAATTAGCTATTTTAACAATTTAAAAACTAAGCGAGCTTCAAAAACGTCGTTAAAATTTAAGTTTAAAAAATTTATGTTTCATGGAAAAGGGTAATGGTAAGGGCCTAAGACTGAATAATGAGTAGGTTGAATTCGCTTTTATGTCTTTTTTGCTTCTTCCGTTTTTAATAAACCTTTACTTCTATTAAATGCTCGGTTATTATTTTGCTTTTTAAATATTTACCGTTTCCTACTGATGAACAAAATATTTTGCAAACTGATGATTTCGAAAAAAAAATGTTTTGTCGAAAACAGGTTTTCAAAATTTTCGGCTGCATCTAATCAAGGGACACAAGTTTCGGAATTAGTTTTCTGTTTTCGGTTTAACCATTCTGATTAAAATTTTCCCATCCACTTCATCAAAATTGGGCCGTTGCTTTTTGCTTTGCTTTTCAAATATTGTCCGTTTCCTAGTGATGAACCAAATATTTTGCAAATTCATGATTTCCAAAAAAAATGTTTTGTCAAAAACAGGTTTTGAAAGTTTTCGGCTGTATCTAATCAGGTGTAGTATGAACTAACCATAGTGTTCTTGTTTCTGTTTATCCATTCTGATTAACCTTTTCCCATCAACTTCATCGAAATTGGGTCGTTGCTTTTTGCTTTGCTTTTTAAATATTGGCCGTTTCCTAGTGATGAACAATATATTTTGCAAATTCATGATTTCAAAAAAAAAAATGTTTTGCCAAAAACAGGTTTTGAAAATCGTCCGCTGCCCCTAATTCGCTGCTTCCGGGGTTTCCAATCCCATCGAAAAAATCTCGACTGTGTTCCAGCTTTGGGCCGTTTTTCGCCACCGTCTAAATCAGTTTCAGATAATTAATTTTGAAAATTGGTGTTTGACTAAAAGCTAATAAAACAAATTCCTATTAGTACCTAATCAAACTGAGATCTGGGAGCTCTTACTGTTAGCAATCTCAGTGTTTGGCAGACACCGTAGCAGCCATTTTGTGTCATCTCGAGTCAAATTTAATATTATTCATTAGGGTTGTAATTTTTATTTACAATTAACAACAATCTAAAAGTTTTCTAACATTCGTAAAAGAATTTTTGGTTTTGTGCCACCTTGCAAAAATATGTTTCCTAAAAAAATTGGGACACCCTGTATTGACCGTTTCCTACTGAACGAAATATTTTGCAAATTCATGATTTCCAAAAAATGTTTTGCGAAAAACAGGTTTTGAAAGTTTTCGGTTGCCCCTAATCAACTTCGACACATTTCCAAATTAGTTTTTTGTTTGCTGTTTATCCATTGATTCCATTTTTTGCAACAATTTTATCAAAATTTGGTCGATTTTCGCCAGCGTCTAAATCAGTTTCAGATAATTTTGAATTTGAAAATTGGTGTTTACGCAAAAAAAAAACTAATTAAAAAAAATTAAAACCAATTCGAAGCGTCCCGGCTCACGTTTATTATGATTTATTCGATTAATTAATTTTCATTTACAATTATCTATAATCTAAAAGTTTTTCTAACATTCGTAAAAGAATTTTTGGTTTTTTGCCGCCTTCGCAAAAAGATGTTTCCTAAAAAAAACTTGCTGCTGGATTTGTGCCACATTTAATTCATCGTTGTTTTCGTCGGTACCCCATGAATACCCCATGAATTTCTCAGAATAGCATTTTTTGGAAAAGGATGTTTCCGACAAAAATGTTGGTGCGAAATTTTTTGGCACATTTAATGCGTTGTGGCCACATTCAGATTTTTTCTTTGTCCAATGTTTGGATATCTTGTCGATTTTGCCGGGAGCGCGGTAACCGACGCGCGCATATTCCAGGAAATGCCCATGTTTCTTAAATATTGTGGTGGGGTCCTGCGGACTTTGACTTAATTTTAAATCACCCGATGTTCGCTGATTGATCTCTGCTAGCTTGCCCCCCTTTTAAAGGAAATGGCAAGCGAAAAATTTTTGGTCTGGAACCCCCGGAACACGATACACAACGCGACACGCGACGCGTGGCCCAGCGCGCGGCGCGCACGTTCCGGACAATAACCATGTTTCGTCAATAATTGCAGTGTTGTCCTTCCGTCATGGGCTATTCAAGGGCCGAGCATGAGGAGCCAAATTTTTGGTTTTAGGGTTTTTAGTAATTTTTTTTGTTTCTAACTTGCCCCCCATTTAAAGGAGCTGGCACGCGAAAGCTAATTTTTGGTCTGGCCCAATTGGTTTTGGCGCGATGCGACACGCAACGCGACGCACAGCGTCATGAAACGCGACCCGGAAGGTGACACGCAACGCGACACGCTACTCGACACGGGACGCAACACACAACGCGACAACAGCGCGACACACAGCGCGACACACAGCGCGACTCGACACGACGCCAAGCGGCATGGCATGACACGCAACGCGACAATAACGCGGCACGCAACGCATACTGCAACGTGACGCGCAACGCGTCAGGCCATTAAAGGGTGGACGTGGCGAGACACGTAAAGCTGCACGCAACGCGACACCCAACCCGAAACGCAACGCGGGACGCAACGCGGACCACTACGTGACGCGCTACGTGACTCGCGATGCGACACACAACGCGACACTCAACGCGACACTCAACGCGACATGCAGCGCGACACGCAACGCGACATGGCACGTAGCGAGGCGCGTAAAGCGACACGTGGCGCGACGCCAAGGAACTCGACGCGACACGTAGCGAGACACGCAGACGCGACGACGCAACGGCGAACGCGCCTGAATCGATCACGCGATGGGAAAGCGAGGCGGGGGCGCTGCATATTGAGGCAAAGCTAGTTCCAAACATCCGGCCAAAAATAGTACATCCCGTCCAAAAACCTGAGCTTTAGAAATTCAAGAAACATACTTATTTTAAAATATTTTTTCTATGAGTCCAGAAATTTCGATTACCGTATCAAATTTGTTTTAAAGGCGTTAAAACGGTAATAATAAAAGCAATAATAATAGATTAAGTTAGGCCATGTAAAAATTCGAGTGGCATCGCTAGTTTCAAAAATTCATCTATTTCCAGGGAATCGACACGGATCAGGACGGCGATGTGACCTGGCCCGAATACCAGGCCTATTTGACTAGGAGGTTTGGCCCGAAGCTGGCCACGGTCGATGGGCCAATGATTTTCGGGCATGCCGACGAGAATGGCGATCAGCGCATTAATGAAAATGGTAGGAAAACCAGATTACGTCGTTATTAATCCTGCCGCGCATGCCGCTGTTACGTATTTTTCCGAAACATAGACTTTTTATTACATTGCTTAGCAAAAATTTCTGCATAATTTTAATTCGACAGCTTTTTACGCGTAATTAACTAAGATTAATTAAATCTAAGGAATTATTATAGTGTGAAAATACCCCCTTTTGAGAATACATCCACTACATCACGGCCACGCTCGGCCGCGCCGACATTGTCGAAAAGTTGAGCGAATCTGAGGTAAATTAGATTAATTTCTCTATAGTTAGATCATGATTAAATTACTAGTAAATAGACAATTAAATGGAAATTTTTACATTATATTATTTTCGTATTCAAAGCACAATTAAATAACCCAAAAAATGGTAGATTTTTGAAAATTGATGTTTCAAGAAAATAAGTGAGTGCACCTGGGTATTTTGGGTTACTTCTGCGTTTTTGATTATCAGTCAATGCCATTAAACTTGGCACAATTTTAGTCGAAAAATTGCATTTTTACAATAAAAATACGTAGAAGCGTTATTTCCGACTGTCAGGAAAGTCAGAAAAATTAAGTGAAAAATAACCAAATTTTTGAATATAATGTTTCAGCAATAAACCTGTTCACGGCATCGTTTTGAAGGGGAATCATCCGTTTTCTATGGGCATTAAAATTAGCACCGATGTATTTCCAAAATTCTGGCGATCAAATTGAAAACATTAAAATCGATAGCTAAATAGAGAAATAAATTACAGGCGGCCCTCCTCAACGACAGCAAGCATCCAACTTCGGAATAAATCGAGAGAAAAATGATTTTTTGGATTTTAAGAATTCTTATACTACATATATCCGCAAATAAAAAGAACAAACCCGAAATAAATCATAAAAAAGACTGGAAAAAGCAAGCACACAATATAGTTTTTAGAAAAAATATGTTTCGAAAAATTTTGAAGTTTCGAAAGAAGCGGCGAACTTAGTAATCGTTTATTTCGGATGTTAATATTACTTTTTAGTGGTTTTCCGATTTATTTTTTGCTATAAAAATATGTCATAAGGAACGGGGGATGGTAAATGATCTTTCTGAGCTAGAAAAGGAAAAAATGGGTTGGAAAGCAATGTGTTTGGTCAAATTCTGGGAATCCCCGGCAAACGATCGCTGCAGTTCTCGCATCAGAGTGTAGTTCTTTCAATTCAAAAGAACATAAAATTTATTGAGAAACGTTAAATCGTAAATGAGTAGCGAAAAAAGCAGATAAATTACAGGCGACCCTCCTCAACGACAACAAGCATCCGACTTCGGAATAAATTGAGAGAACGATGATCTTTCGGATTTTAAGCGATTTTTACAATGCATATATTTGCAAATAAGAATATACAACCCGAAAAACACCATAAAATCATAAAAGAGACTGGCAAAAACAACCGCACAAATAAATTATGGCCAGAAAAATATGTTTCGAAAAATTTCCAACTTTCGAGAGAAGCGGTGAAATTAGTGTCTCGTCTTTTCTGTCTTTTAATATTACTTTTTAATGGTTTTCCGATTTTTTTGCTAGAAAAATATGTAATAAGGAGTATGGATGATAAATTATCTTTCTGAGCTAGAAAAGGAAAATTGAGTTGAAAACCAATGTGTTTCATCCAATACTGTGATTCCCCGGCAAGCGATCTGTTTAGTTCTTGCGCCCGAGTGGTTTTATTCAATTAACAGTTCAACACTTTAAATCGCAATATGAATAGTGAAAAAAGCATATAAATTACAGGCAGCCTCCAACTTTGGAAGGAATGGTGAGAACTACTTTTCAATTTTTATCGATTTTTATCATCATTATATTTGTGGATAACGAGATACAACCCGAAAAAACATCATAAAAACCACCAGCAAAAGTAACACAACAATAAAATTTTGTGAGAGAAAAATGTGTTTTGGAAAAGCCGAAGGTTACGGGGAAAGTGATAGAATTCGTAGTGTGCGCTGTCTGTATCATTTTTTAAGTTTTTTGTGATTTTTAGGATTTTTTTTGCTATAAAAAGACAAAAAAGGATGGAATTGATCAACATTTATTTTCCATTCAAATAAAAAATTTCTGTGAAAAAAATGTGTTTTATAAAATTCAGGAATCCCCCAGGAAATCGACAGGCTCAATCCAGCAATTCTACTGTCGGATAGAGCACAAAATTTATTTACAAATAGCACAAAATCGATAAAATTAAATCAATAAAAACAAGCGCGGAAAAGATGGAAATTACAGGCGGCTCGCCTCAACGATAAACAGATACAGCATCTTAAAAATTGAAAAACATTTTTTTTGGATTTTTTCTGATTGAGGATTTCTTTATTATCAAAACCTTACGTAAAAAGAGATAGAACCCGAAAATACATCATTAAAACAACCGGCAAAACGAAATACAACAAAATTAAAAATTATGATCTTTTGAAAAAAAATGTGTTTTGGAAAAATTCAAAGTTCCGCAAGAAGTGATCGATTTAGTGGATATCTCGGCATGCTCATAACACCCTTCCTCATTTAAAAATTCACTTCAGAAAAGGGAAATTTAGCTGCGAAAAGTTAGAAAAAATTAATGGGTTTATTGAAACTTCTTAACAGAATTGAATTTGACTTGAAATTGAAATTGATCCGATTTTTTAAGGGGTCAATGAAGTCAACAAACGGACCCGGCTCTTGGTCGGGTCCGTTTGTTACGGTCCGAGTCCCTTTAAAACGAGCAAAAAACGGGGGGTTTTAAAGGACCATTTAAGGCAAAACACGAAACGGCCAGTTGTCACGCTCCCTTTAAAACAAGTGATAGGCGGAAAAATAGTAATTTAAAGGGCCGCTAAAGCAAAATTCCGAACGGCGATCTGTCACGCTCCCTTTAAAATGCTAGTAAAATTAAGAAATTGTATTTTAAAGGATCCATGCAGTAAGAACGGGACACGGCTGGCTGCCACGTTCCCTTTAAAATGCTAGTAAAATTAAGAAATCACCAGGGTTGAAAAGCCGCTTCGCGTCTTTTCAACCTCGTCTGGCCCCCGTCTAGCGTCATAATATGCGTCATTTTGCATAATTCTCTCGAATTCCGATGCCAAAAAAATGAAAATCTCTCCCTCCGCCCATTATATAGGTTCGCGCCATTTCCGGCATATGCTAATTGATTCCTAACAAAGTGGGTGCTCCATTTTCTAACAAAAACTTAATTTTAACGTCGAAAATAGCATAATTTGCAAAATCTGATGTGTTTTATTGGTCGTTTATATAGTCGAATCCCCACTTCCGGTCTACGCTAATTGTTCCTAACAAAGAGGTTTTCACAAAAACTTAAATTTAATGTCGAAAATAGGTGATTTTGTTAAACCTGATATGCGTGCAGTCATCTCAGCGCCATTACGCACCTAATGACGTATCATACGTTGCTTAAAACCCTTTCCCTCTTGAGATATCCTCCGGACACGCTGACGGAAGTTGCATGCAAAGTGGCACACACACACAAACACACAGACACTATTTTTTTTATATATAGTAGGATATTTTAAAGGGCCCTTGAAGGCAAATTTCAGAACCGTTGTCTGTCACGCCCCTTTAAAATGTTAGCAAAATTAAGGCATCGGATTTTAAAGGATCCAGTAAGTAAAGGACATGGCTAGCTGGCACGCTCCCTTTAAAATGATCGCAAAATTGAGAAATCGTATTTTAAAGGAGCATCGAAGGCAAAAATCGATATCCTCGAGGAGTCGGACTTCAGCCTCCAGACTACAACCGAAACACGGTCCTCTGCGCAAGCATATGGATAACGCGTGTGTCCCTTTTTGGCGATTTCCGGCCGTCAAAAAACAGATACGCCGACCAGAGCAGCACCATCAGGATGGAGATGCCCACGTAGGCGAAGCTGCAATTGTTTTTTTATGGATTTTTTTTGTTATAAATAATATTGCATTTTATTCAACATTTTACTGCATGAATTAGGATGCCAAAAAGAATCCTCTTTTGGAAAAATTATGAAACACTAAATTTTCAATTTTTCAAAATTTACATTTTATTTTTTGGATTTTTTTAAGTTAATCGACTAAATCATGGGAATAGGTCTAATCGTATAACACGAATAGTAAAACACACTTCCAATAACAATAATTCGGTGCATGCTTTTTACATTTTTAAAAATCCTTAGAGTTTAGAAGCTGAATTTCCACGCCCGTTCGATCATATATTAATGTGCCCAAAAAACCTTAATTTTTGAAGTTATTAAAAACATCATTTTTTAATTATGAATTATTTGTTTGTGAATTATAAATAATAAAAATTTTTAGAAATTTAAAGTTTTGTAGCATTTTCATATTAATCGACTAAATGAAACATTTTTAGAGTTTTTGAAAAATCTTTAGCGTTCGAAGCTGTGCACGATTAATCCGCTCAAAACATTTCGATTTTTGAAATTGTTAGAAACATAATTTTTTTAATCACATTTTTTTTAGGGTGGACGCGAAGTTTTTCAGGTGTTTGAATTTATACATTAAGGCGTTTTTCAGGGTTAGTTTATTCGGCACTACTTCAGTTTGCTGGCCCCACTTATATCTGGCCAAAATGGCCTTTTTCTGGGTCAGTTTTTTGCGCTGGTTACGAATAACACTATCCCAGCCCGTAAAAATGACATTTAAGAAAAAAAAATATAATTTTATACCAAAATCTGGAATTTCGATTTTCGTGATTTGACGGCGTTCTAAGTACGCCAGGAGCCTATAAACCCGACCTTTCTGCGCTCTCATGCCGCGATACCGCTTGTTTTCGCTAAAACGGCATCGTTTCGGGAAAATGTTAGCTATTGGCCAGCGATACGCTGTTTCCACCAAGCACCACGGGGAGGTTGCTAACAGAGCTCGGCGGGTGGCCCTGAAGAGGGCCGTTGGGTATTTTTTTAGCGAGTGATCATTCGCACGGGTACTGAGCAGCAACCTGGGACCAAAAGTGGTAGAAGATGTCATCGCTATCGCCGAACTCCTGGCGCCATCTCTTGATCCTTTTTTTGAACCGTGACCATTGGCTCTCTACATTTTGGGTATGAGAGCCAGTGTGGGGGTCAACGAAGTTCATTGAATGATTGACCGTGAGATGTTGGTAGCCTTGTGGAAGGGCCGAGATGCCGCCATACGCCCGCCAGAGATCCGAATGGATTGTAGAACCAGGGCGGACACACTGCTCAATAATTGGCAGCAGCGTGTTCGCATCCCGTCGGTCCACGAGCTCCAGGAAGCCACGCCCGGAGCCCCGTTCGATGCCACCGAACATCCATTGTCTCTGGTGCGCAGGCAGACGACCTCTGTTGTACTTACGACGTGCGATGCACGTCTCGTCGATTTCCACATCAACACCAGGGCCGCCGATAACTCGAGGGTTGCGAATATCGCTCGAAAATCACGAAAATCGAAATTCCAGATTTTGGTATAAAATTATATTTTTTTTTCTTAAATGTCATTTTTACGGGCTGGGATAGTGTTATTCGTAACCAGCGCAAAAAACTGACCCAGAAAAAGGCCATTTTGGCCAGATATAAGTGGGGCCAGCAAACTGAAGTAGCGCCGTTTATTCTTTAAAAATTAATGTAAAAAGGTTTTTTAATTTTTAAATTTTTCTGGTAAAACTCTTTTAATTTTTAATTCGTATTTTATAATTTGTAATTCGCATCATATTATTGCGTATTTAATTTTTAATTAAAATTTGTACCTTATTAAAATTGATAATGGTGTCGAAATCCTGGTGAATTTCATTCCCAGGAGTTTCGAGGATTTTTGTATGGGCGC